GGGTGCTTGTATTGCGATGTATTTCCCGCTCAGGACTGCTTTTGCTGTATCCTAAGATTTTGACCAGTTGTATCTTCATTCTCATTAGTTTCCATGAATCTTTTTAATTCTTCTCTAATTTACTGGTTGACCACTTCATCTTTTAGCATGATGGTCTTTAACCTCCAATCCAAATTTGAATTCCTTCCAAATTTCTTCTTGTGATTGCGTTCTAGTTTCAAAGCATTGTGGTCTGAAAATATGCAGGGGACAATCCTAATATTTTGGTATCAGTTAAGACCTGATTTGTGCCCTAGTATGTGGTCTATTCTGGAGAAAGTTCCATGTGCACTTGAGAAGAATGTGTATTCAGTTGCGTTTGGATGTAAAGTTCTGTAAATATCTGTGAAATCCATCTGGTCCAGTGTATCATTTAAAGCTCTTGTTTCTTTGGAGATGTTGTGCTTAGAAGATCTGTCATTTACAGAAAGCACTGTGTTGAAGTCTCCCAGTATAAATGTATTATTATCTAAGTATGTCTTAACTTTGGTTATTAATTGATTGATATACTTAGGAGCACATTAGCTCCCACATTAGGAGCATAAATATTCATGATTGTTAGTTCTTCTTGTTGGATAGACCCTTTAAGTGTGATATAGTGTCCCTTTTCATTGCTTACTACAGTGATTGGGATAAACTTTAATTTATCTGATATGAGGATGGCTACTCCAGCTTTCTTTTGAGGACCATTTGAATGGTAAATGATTCTGCAACCTTTCATTTTCAGGCTGGAGGTGTCCTTAGGTCTAAAATGAGTCTCTTGTAGACAGCAAATAGATGGGTCTTGCTTTTTTATACAGTCCAAAACCGTGCATCTTGTGATAGAATCATTTAGCCCATTCACATTCAGAGTAACTATTGAAAGATATGAATTTAGTGTCATCGTAATACCTATTCAGTCCTTGTTTTGTGGATTATTTCTTTGGGCTTTCTCTTTCTTTTACAGAATCCTCTTAATATTTCTTGCAGAGCTGGTTTTGTGGTCACATATTCTTTCAGTGTCTGCCTATCTTGCAAGCTGTTTATCTCTCCTTCTATTCTGAATGAGAGCCTTGCTGGATAAAATATTCTTGGCTGCATGTTCTTCTCATTTAGGACCCTGAATATATCCTGCCAGCCCTTTCTGGCCTGCCAGGTCTCTGTGGAGAGGGCTGCTGTTAATCTAATATTTCTCCCCATATAAGTTAGGGATCTCTTGTCTCCTGCTGCTTTAAGGATCTTCTCTTTATCTTTGGAATTTGCAAGTTTCACTATTAAATATCGGAATGTTGAATGGTTTTTATTGATTTCAGGGGGAATCTCTCTATCTCCTGGATCTGAATGCCTATTTCCCTCCTCAAGTTAGGGAAGTTCTCAGCTATGATTTGTTCAAATACACTTTCTGGTCCTCTGTCCCTTTCAGCACCCTCTGGAACCCCAATTAAATGTAGATTTTTCCTTCTGAGGCTGCCATTTATTTCCCTTACCCTTTCCTCATGATCTTTTAATTGTTTTTCTCTTTTTTCCTCAGCTTCCTTCCTTGCCATCAACTTGTCTTCTATGTCACTTCCTCTTTCTTCTACCTCATTAACCCTCATCATTAGGACATCTAGTTTGGATTGCATCTCCATTAATTGATTTTTAATTTTGGCCTGATTAGATCTAAATTCTGCAGTCATGAAGTCTCTTGAATCTTTTATGCTTTTTTCAGAGCTATCAGTAGCTTTATAATTGTGCTTCTGAATTGGCTTTCTGACATCAAATTGTAATCCAAATTCTGTAACTCTGTGGGAGAGAGGACTGTTTCTGATTCTTTCTTTTGTGGTGAGTTCTTCTTTCTAGTCATTTTGCTCCATGCAGAGTGGCTAAAAACGAGTTGTACTGGAAAAAGGATGAAAAAAAAAAGAGAAAAACAAACAAACAAACAAAAAAAGGGAAGGGTATCCTCTGATTCTATATACTGTAAGTCCCTTGACTTCCCTGGAGCTTTCCAGCGTTGCTCGGTCAAGAACTTGCTCTTACCCTGTCCTTCCAGCTTGTCTTCTGGGGGTTGGGACCTCCTGTGCTGATTCTCAGGTGTGTGCCCCTGGGGGAGATGCCCCGTGCCCTGCCAGGTGCTGGGCTCAGTGGGGGCTCTTTACCCCGTGAGGCCCCTGCTCCCTGGCAGCCCTGCTCCCTCCCAGGCACAAGGTGACACCAGGAGGAACAACAGTGGCATCGGCCTGCTCTCCAACCCTGGAGTCAGCTCTCGCGGGAACTACCACACCTCCCAGTCCACACTGGCCTGGATGCTCCCAGGCGGGGGCGGGGCACTGACCTGCACAGCTCAAGGGTGCCCGGTGGCAGGAGCGTCCTCAATGTTCTGTGTCCTCCCGGCCTCCACCAGTCCTAAGGGGAGTTCAGGATCCTGGGCTGAATCCCCTGGAACCCTGGGCTCCGGGGCCTGCACTGCTGGAATACCGCTCCCGGGGCGCGCAGCCTCCTCTGCCTGGAGCTGCCGCTCGAGCTGTTCCTGGGTCTGCCCGCACGCGCTGCAGCCCTTTAGGGAGCTTGGCCGCGTGGTGTGGCGTGCTCTCCCCCGGGGAGCAGGTCCTCTGTTAGCGCCCCCGGGAGCCTGAGGGCATCCCCGCCCCTCCTGGGATCCTGCCCGAGCTCCCTGCAGGCGCCTTTCCTTTGGGAAGATTGGTAAAGCTCCTGCTTCTCCGGGACTGAGCTTTCCCGCCCTGGAGGCTCCCATTGCCCCCCTCAGCCTGGCTCCTCGCGGGGGCCCTTCCCACACTGGATTCTTTTTTATTTTTATTTTTTCCGACTTCCTTCCATGTTAGAAGCATGAACTTGTCTCTCTGTAGCATTCCAGCTGTTCTCTCTTTAAATCTCAGGCCGCATTCGTAGGTTTTCAGGATGATTTGAAAATTATCTATGTAAATGGTGGGGACAGGTGACTTGGGGACCCTACTTTTCCGCCAACTTGCCCCGCCCCCAATAGTCGGCCTTTGTTAATGTAATTTATACTCCTTGAAATTCTTTTAGATGGCTGAATAGTATCTTCTTTATCCATTCATCAGTCAATTGCCTTTTGGCCTCTTTCTATAATTTGGCATATATTGATGCTGCTGCTATAGACATCAGGATGTGTGTGTCCCTTTAAATCAATATTGTGTATTGTTTGTGTAAATACCTGGTAGTGCAATTGCTAGAGTGTAGGGTAATTTTATTTTTAACTTTTGTTTTGGAAAATGTTTATTTATTTGAGAGAGAGAGGGAGAGAAAGACAGAGAGAGAGAGAGAGCATCCCAAGCAGACTACAGGTGAGTGGGGAATCTGAAGTGGATCTTCATTGATCTCAAGACCCTGAGATCATGACCTGAGCCAAACTGAAGAGTCAGATGCTCAACTGACTGTGCCACCCAGCTGCCCCTATTCGTAACTTTCAGAGGAACTTCCATACTGTTTTCCAGATGGCTGTACCAGTTTATATCCCCACCAACAGTGCAAGAAGGTTCTCCTTTCTCCCCTCCTTGCCAACACCTGTTGTTTCCTGTGTTAATTTTAGCCAAACTGACAGATGTGAGGACGTATCTCACTGTGGTTTTTGACTTGTGTTGCCCTGATGATGAGTGATGTTGAACAACTTTTCATGTGTCTTTTAGCTATCTGCATGTCTACTTTGGAAAAGATCTGTTCATGTCCTCTGCTCATTTCTTAACTGGATTATTTGTTTTTTGGTATTGAGTTTGATAAGTTCATTATAGATTTTGGATACTAATTTATCAGATATAGGTCACTGCAAATATTTTCTCCCATTGTGAAGGTTGCCTTTTAGTTTGTTGATTGTTTCCCTTGCTGTGCTGAAGCTTTTTATCTTGATGAAGTCTCAATAGTTCATTTTTTCTTTTGTTTCTCTTGCCTCTGGAGACATGTCTAGCAAGCAGTTGCTGTGGCCGAGGTCAGAGAGGTTGCTGCCTGTGTTTTCTTCTAGGAGTTTGATGGTTTCCTGTCTCATGCTTAAGTCTTTCATCACTTTTGAATTTGTGTATGATGTAGGAAAGTGGTGCAGTTTCATTCTTCTGCATGTTACTGTCCAGTTTTCCCAACACCATTGGTTGAAGACACTGTCTTTTTCCCCATTGGATATTCTTCCTGCTTTATTGAAGATTAGTTGACCATATAGTTGTAGGTCCATTAATGGGTTTTGTTCTGCTCCATTGGCCTATGTGTCTGTTTTTGTACCAGTACCAACTGTCTTATGACTACAGCTTTGAAATATAGCTTGATGTCTAGAATTGTGATGCTGCCAGCTTTTCTTTTCTTTTTCAAGATTGCTTTGGCTATGTGCAGTCTTATCTGGTTCCATACAAATTTTAGGATTGCTTGTTCTAGCTCTGTGAGAAATGCTAGGAGGGTTTGGATAGGGATTGCATTAAATGTGTAGATTGTTTTCAGTAGTACGGACATTTTGACAATATGTGTTCTTCTAATCCAAGAGCATGGAATGTTTTTCCATTTCTTTGTGTCCTCTTCAATTTCTTTCATAAGGGTTCCGTAGTTTTCAGCGTACAGATCCTTTACTTCTTTGGTTAGGTTTATTCCTAGGTATCCTATGGTATTCAGCACATCAACATAAAGTTTGGATTGTTTTGTTGACATAGGATTTTTTCTATTTACCAATGCTTTATTTAAAAACTTACTAGAAGTTGGGATTTGCAAATGTTAACTTCTGTTTAATAATGTCTCCCTCATTTTTAGTTCTTTGTGCAATACCTCAGTAAGATGCTGAATCACCTGAAATGATCATCGAATCTTTTCAACCTAATTATTTTGATGTCTTATCCAAATGTATTGTGGAAAATTGTCTCCACATTCCCTTCCAACCAATGGAACACAGACTTTCCAATAAGGAGCCCTAGTCAAGAACTAGAGGCTTGGAGTAATAGCCAAGCTCTATTTCAACAAACTCAGGAATCTTTCTTCCAAATAGTGTGTCACTGTGTGTGGGAGAAGGTGGGAACAAAAAAAGAAATGCAAAGGAAACCAGTCTTTGTAACCATGTGTCTGTCACTACTTAAGAGATATTTTCCCAGTGTCCTTCTCACAGCTGCCTTCACTTCTTTATTCTTTAGGCTGTAGATGAGGGGATTCAGCAAGGGTGTGACTGCACTGTACTGCAAGGACAGGAGCAAATCCAGGGAGGAACCGGTTGTGGGCATAAGGTAGCGAATCAAACCTGAGCCAAAAAATAGGGTCACTGCAATGAGGTGGGAGGAGCAGGTGGAGAAGGTCTTGCTTCTGCCTGAGGTGGAGCTGATGCTCAGGATGGTGGAGACGATACGGGCATAGGAGAAGAAGATTGGGAGAAAGGTCCCAAGCCCATGCAGTAAGGTGGAGCAGATCAAGATGTCAACACTGATGGAAATATCTGAGCAAGAGAGAGGGAAGAGGGAGGGCAGTTCGCAGGTGTAGTGCTGTATGGTTTGGGCCTCACAGAAGTCCAGGTTAATAGCCAAGAGCACAATGACAAATGCATTGAGACAGGCCAGACCCCATGAGATCAACACCAGCTTCACACAGAACTGGGTGCTCATCACCTGGCCATAGAGCAGTGGGTGGCAGATGGCAGCATAGCGGTCATAGGCCATCGCTGAGAGCAGAAAGGCTTCAGTCCCTGGTGTGATAAACACAAAGAACACCTGTGTGAGGCAGCCCTTCACTGAGATGGTTCTCTTCTCAGACAGAAGGTCCTTCAGTAGCTTGGGCACAGTGACAGAAGAGAAGCAGAGGTCCATGAAGGACAGGTTACTCAGGAAGAAGTACATGGGAGTGTGGAGGCGGGAATCAGCCCTGATCACCAGCAGCATCATCAGGTTCCCCATCACAGTCAGGAGGTAGATCCCCAGGAAGAACACAAAGAGCAGAGCTTCGATGTAGGGGTCGTCGGACAGCCCAATGAGAATGAACTCCGTGATGGTGCTGTGGTTCCTCCAGGCCATTTGTGGAGGGGGTTTCCCTGGAGTAATAGAGAAATAGTGATGAGATCCCTCTCCTTCACGTCATCACCCCTCTTACCATACATGCTTCCCTGCTTCCCTACACTCTGTGCGGACATCTCCAGGCTGCCCTCACTGTCTATCGGGAAGAATTTTTATCTTGTTCGGTTATAACTGATTTATGTTTGCACAGTTCAGAGAATCTTCTTCTTCTTCCATAGGGATTTACCTGGAAAAATGAGTTTCGCTGGTTCACTTCCACATCCCTGCATTAAGATTCTATTGCAATCTTCTAGCATTTAGAAACCTAAAAATTCTAGCATGTATTTGCAGGGATCTTCTAAACTTTTTCCCTTCAAATTCTGAATGATAAATTTTGTTCAATCATCCAATGTCCCCTTACCAGAGCTGCCATCCATTAGGAAAAGTAGGCGTCTATCTTACATGACTGATAAAAAAAATAAATTTCTTTTAACATCAGAAGAAAAAATGAATATAGTACAGCCTGGGTTGTATCCATTTTTAAAACTGCTTCAATAGTATAAATTATAATAATTTTTATGGAAAGGGGTCTATGAAGGCAAAAGTACCTGGGGCCATGGAATTCATAATGTGTCACTGCTCTCTACTTCATAACAAGCATTTAAGTAAAATAAAACTCTATTAAATACAATTCTCAATGACTATCTCAATTGTTTCAAAGTAGTTCCATAATATTGGAGAAGGAATTATTAGCCTCCGGATAAGGAAGTTTATCCCCATTTTACCTGTGAGAAGTCTCATATTAAGGGATATTTGCAACGTCATGTTACAGTAAGTAGAGGAAGAAGGAAATAAACACCATTATTTTTCTAATTACAATGCAATGTCTAGGCTTAGTTCACATCATGAGGAACCCTTTTCTTACCTGGACCTTTAAATTCTTCCTCATCTGCCCTTTAACTTTGGCCATTATGGCTGCTTTTGATACCAGAAAAGTCTGCTTGCTTCTGTGTCTTTGCTCACCTTCTCCTCTATATATTCTCCTCTTAATTCCAGAGATGCAGACTCTCATGGGCCTTCCAATGTGACCTATCGCCCTGCTCAATTCCTTATAGCCTGACCTCACTTCTCCCTACTTGAAATCCCAGCTCTCTGTTCAAATCTCAGGGCCATCAGCGCTCAGGTGCCTTATGTGATGGTCTGATTCTGTGTCTGGCTCATGGGGGACTCCTATCTGGGTTCCCCCCCACCCCCGATGTGAGCTCCATGAGAACAGAGCCACAACTGGACAAGCACAGTCACAAACCAGCATATCTCTGGTTCTCTCCCACCCATTAGCTTCTGATTACCTCTCTAATCTCTGTCCAATTGAGGCATCTCTTGTGTTCCTCAGAGACCTCTTGACCATGCTCAGCACAATCTCATCCCTTCCTCCTTGGGCCCCACAGCACTGGCGCCTGGAGGCACACTGTAGACATGGCTGTCTGCCACTGTTGCCTGACACCCCACTCACAAAGATTGGAGTCCAAGCTGCTCAAATTCAAGGTTGTTATCATATGCACAGAGCTCATCAGGTCATGCTGCTGCTATCCTCTCTCCCCTGCTCTCATACTGATAGAATCCAAGGGCTCTGTGGCCAGCATTGCAAGAGTATGCTTATGTTCTTATTGTGGACATGTTATTCCTCTATGGCCCCCCTCTAGGGTCAGAGGCAAATTTTCTTTTAAACAAAGTTTTTTGAATCCCTTTCTCCAGATTTCAGCTGTGTAACCAGGAGGAGCAGATGGTGAGCCATTTAGTAAAATGAGGACACTAAGATTCATTTTGACCCCTAACTTCTTGGACTATGTAGGGAGTCACTGTCCTATGAGAAGATTCCTTCCTCACTTGGACATTTAAAGCTAACTTATCAATATTCTTTTTTGTCTGTCAGTCCACAGTCTGATCCCACAGTAGGCTTCCGTCCTCATAGAACTATTTATCCCACTGACCCAGAGAACCCTGCTTCTGACCCTTTGGGCTTTGATAGCAATGTATGACTAGGTGTTAAGTTACATTAAGGAAAGCCTAACTTCTGATCCAATTAACAAATCCACTAGTCCCACCTCAGTCCATCTTAGCCCTGAGTCTAGGTTACCTGTGTTGCAGGACAGGTAGTGAGATGTTCACTCTTATATGCCTGCAGGATATTAGCTTTGGTCCAGTGATGGTGAACCATAACTGACTGGAGAAGTTACTTTTGAGGATCCTGCATGGATAAAATTGCAGATACTGCTGAGAGCAAACTCTGGGTGAATCTATGCAATCAACACAAAATGATATGATAAATGGAAGCCATTCTTTTCAAAGACTCATGTATTTCAAAATATTTATGGATATGTCTACCTAAAAATCACTTCCATTCTTCCACTGACACTCACAAAGGGTACCGGGCTACAGTGCTCACAGGGGGTTCAAGTTCTCATCTGAAGAACACTGTAGTTGTTGTGCAGAATTCTTTTCTGTCCTGACATAGGTCGTATTATGTATAAACAAAGACACCAGTTACTTCTCTCATGTGATTTTCAGGTTGCACACAGAATGGAATCTTCCTCCCCATTATCAATTTTGAACAATACTTCATTTCAATGTCTGGGATTTCTTTAGTGACCAGGGACTATTCTTAGCATTTACATCCTGGATCTATTAAGCTTTAAAATAAAACACTTGCAGTCACCCTTGTGAAGGGATGATATTGGCTTCATTTAATCCTGAGCTATACCAGACTGATGCCAGATGCAGAACATAGATCGTGAGCAGGAGAGGATTGAGGGAAAGTAGGGAGACTGGTGATGGAGGGTTGGGAGCTGTTAAAGGAGGGGATTTCAGCAGTGTCTTCGATGAACACCTGCATCATTATTTTGCCACCTGGGACACTTCACATTCATTGGACACCTGAATATTTGATCAATTTCTCTTGCAAAGCTATATGGCAAGATATTGGGTATGTATATTATTTTGTGGCTTTCAGGAAGTTAACTAAGATCAGCATCTTCTCCAATGGAGCTGCTAATATAGCAAATCACTGATTTCTTTCTCAGACTTAGGGATGAAGCCCAAAGTTGAGAACAACTCTGCTGGAGCTATGGTCACCCAATCTTGCCCATAGAGGAAGCCTTTGACAGCCAGTTTCCATTAAGAGGGAGTGTTTGGCGTGTGGAAAACTTACGTGCACACAGGCTGCTCATTGTCTTTGGAGTGAAGAAATGCCTGAAGGTTGTGTGCAGAAGGTCAGACTAGACACGGTGGCTCTAGGGATCCTGTGAGCTGGTCTGTGGCATGCAGACCCTCGGTGCTAGGTGCATGGGATGAAATCTGTTTCGGGGAGAAGCATATCAGCACTGGGAGCAGGTGGGACTTGAGACAAACTTGATCCACTTGAAGTGATTCTCAGAGCTGTTTTCTGCTCTCCTCACTCACACTATTCACAGTGTCTCAGTTGACTAGTTTTCAGGTGACTTGAATATCAAGGGAAGGAAGTCTACTGTGCTTCTACTCTTGTACTGAGCAGGCAGGAAAACAGGTGGCTCCAACAGTGTGAGCCCTATCTCTGATGCCCTCTTTTCATCCAGGTGACAGCCTTTTTCAGTGCTTTGGTTTCCTGAAGCATGAGAGGATTGATGCCTAGACTTTAAGGTGTCACTGTCTTCAGGTGAGGTAGGATGGAGAGAACGTGTCCAAGGCAGCTGGTACAAAAGCACCGTTTGGACAGAGAGATATATAGAGTCCCACCCAGGGAGATGGTCTGCCAAGGAGTGAGGTGTTCCCGCCTGTAGCTTAGGGACAAGGAATGCGTGGAGCAGGAGCCAGAGGCTTTAGGACCAATGGAAGGGATCCTGAGGTGGAGATGGAGGAGGAAAAAACCCCCACCAGAATTGAAACACACAGAGCATCCCAGGCAGAAAAATAGGAGGACCACCAGAAACACAGAGAAGATATTACCATCTCCTGGCTTTTCTTGGAGGAGGCAACTGCACGTGTTCCGTCTTCGCCTTCAGGACCAGACACTTGGTAGGTAATCCCAATAAGAGAAGCCCTGTCACAAGCATCTCTTTACAGAGCACATAGCCTGTTCCCTTAGCTGTCAGTGAGTGAAGGAAGTTAGAATAAGGGAAGCTCTGGAAGCACTGGATCTATCAGAGCATCAGGATTATTTTCCAGAACACCTAAAGAGAGGGGTGTCATTCTGCAATGGAGGCCACTCTATGGAAGGACAGAGACAACATTTCCAAACAGCTCATATTCTGAACAACAGACACACATTTCATGAATACCTTCTCTCCTGAACTCAGGGGCAGTGGTGTGCTACGTCTTCCTTTATGCTCTCTGTGCTTCTGAATGCTCTTCTAAGAGTGTCACTTAAAGAAGGAAGAATCGACCAGAACCAATCAAAAGGCTGCCTGTACTTCAGCAGCCATGGTGTGTTGTGGGCCCCCAGGGGAAGCTGGGCTGCTGCCCTGTAATCCCTGAAGTCCCAGCCTGAAGCTGAGCTCTGGACTCAGTAACCACAGCTTGCACTTAACTAGAAAGGTAAATGTAGTCTGAGGTACAGGAGTTCTCTCCAGGGTGATATTTCAATTTTCTGATCTAAGGCAATTATTTAAAGTCTAGGAGAGGACAGCAGGAGAGCAGAACACCTGTGCCTTTCTGCCTGTAGCCCTTTGTTTCTCTTGGGCCCTGTAAATGTCATTCCTTGAGTAAGGTTAAATTCAGACCTGAAATTCTGACTGCTTAATATGTGACAGCCCCTCAGCTAATGAAAATCTCACATCTAGGAAGCTAGAGGTACTCCTTGTAATAAAGGCCATTTTATTTGTGTATTTTTTTTTAACAAATTAATTTTTATTGGTGTTCAATTTACCAGCATACAGAATAACACCCAGTGCTCATCCCGTCAAGTGTCCCCCTCAGTGCCCATCACCCATTCACCCCCACCCCCCGCCCTCCTCCACCTCCACCACCCCTAGTTCATTTCCCAGAGT